AATCTTGTCGATTAACTTGAAATAAATCTAATGAACTAGATTCATTTGTTAAATCCGTTTGATAAAATTTTTCGAATGTTTTAGGAACTTTGCCATTGATTGATATAACTAAATCATCATCATTGAAACGTAATTTTTTCCATTGAATTATATTATCTTTTGCAGAGAAATTTTGTGAAAATTGACAACGAAATTGAACATGTTCACCATATGTTACTGTCATATTTTCCAACCGAAGAAAACAACAGGCTAATAAAAAAATAATATAATAAATTTAAATGAAATGAAAAAAATAAAATTTACATTGTTTAATTAGAATATATATAAAAATGATGAATAAATTGTAAGACATATTTCAATTATTATTATTATTGTCGTCGTTTAAGGTTTTGTATGTCCGACGGGTTAGTCAACAATCGTCATTCTCTTCTTTATGATTGTTTTTCGATCTGACAATGTATAAATTGTTCGATATATATGTATATAGATGGATGGATGCACTACAGTGCACTTTCGTTCTCCTTTTTCTTTTATTCTAAAATACAAACATTAAACGTTCACATATATATATGTATGTGTATATATGCATTGAATGAATGTGTCTCGTCTCGTCTTTCTCTCACTTCACTAACTTCCGATCTCCTTTTCTCTCGTCGATAATATCAAACAAGAACTTTCGATGCGAGAGAATAAGAAGAAGACGACGAGAGGGAGAGAAAAAAGGTGATGATGAACGACAATTTGTACATTTCTCTTTTTCGCACAAAATGATGAAGAAGAAAAAAAGAAAACTAACGTCGGTCATTTTCAATCGTATAGTCTCTGTCCAATAGCCAACGGGTATAGATTGAAGTGTCTATGACTATCTCAATACGAGATCGAATCCAACCCTTATTCAATTACCTGTTGTGTTGTCGTCAGATGGTCTGTCTAACTGATGATGGACATTCAAGCATGGATAATATTGCTCTAGGCATTATACAGATGTTATCGAAGAGGAAAGAAGTTTGACCACGTAATCACAGACTTTTTCTCTTATGTATATGTTAGGAAACACACGTTCTCAATAAATGACAGGAGAACCACAACTACATCGATAAATTAGCCATTTCTTTCTCTCTCTCTCTCTCCCTATATGCATAACGTATGTTAGATGACATAACTCCCTATTTCATGCTCTATTCTACTGTCAATTATCAGTTTGGCACCTGTTGTTGACATATTTAAAAGATTGAATAAAAGGAAATTTATTGTGATTAAACACCTTTTTTTCCTGTTTGGTAATCTAATATTCTAGTATGGCATTTATTTATTTTATCAGATGAGTGAAAAGAAAATGACCGAACAAGATGAGTAGTAAACATTGAAGAATAATAATTATGTTAACAAAAAGGCACATGGCATTTCGAATGCTAACATACCCAGGATATCTTCATCAATAAGTAGACATATTTGAATCAATTATATCTGTAATGAGGAGGAGAATATATAGTTCTCGTTTTCATCATAATGACCACTAGAAGATGTTCAATGCCGTAAGGGCTAAGAGAACTCACTCATGTCAATCAGAATCAGTACGAGAGACGGCGGAAAGATAAAATTCACTACAGACATATACACAGATGTTATATTCAAATAATTGAACTCATTGGTAATCAAAATGATAATATAAGAATAAATGAATTGAAGCAAAACGAAAATATAGATAATTTGATAGAATATAATCAAGTGGAATTTAAATTGAAATTGAACGAGGGGTCGTTTATAATATGATTAATCCTATCTATTACTTACTCACCTGTTTAAAATGACAAGGACAAAAATTTATGATCGGTCAGGCAATATCTCTATGTGTACATATCAACAAAAAAAAAAAGACCTCACTCGTCATCGATCTTATCTCGTGTTCTTCATGTCTCTCTTTATACATATATATATATATTTATACTCAGCAGGGGAAGTAACAGACGACGACTCTCGAAAGTAAAGTTCATCATATCTATGTATGCTCTCGTCATTGATTTCGTTAATCAACACACAAACATTATGAGCACTACTACCATAACCGGTCGATGATGATTTGCTTCTACTTTTTCTTTTTCTCTCTACAATACGTTCACATATATATATATATTGTATAGATAGATAAGATTTGTTGCTCTCTCTCTCTCCACTCTCTTTTCTATCTATTCCCCCTTCATGCAAAAAGACCATAATTCATCAGAAGAATGATGGAGAATCGTGTGTGTCTACTTACATTTATATCTATATATATACGTATATAAATATATATATGTGAAAGAGAAGGATGACTTTTATTATTAATCCAGTGTGTTTCGGACTATCATCTGTACACGGATGAATAAGTGAAAAAGAAGAAGAAGAAGATGAACCTTTAGGCGATCTGTTGTCACACATTTATGTTTTGATAAATCGATAAAAGAAGAAGTGAATCTATGTCGTTAGTTGACCGGTATAGATCTTTACAATTAAATCACGTTGAGTAAATATCATGGTTGACTTTAATGTTAATTTCTGTCAACATACACTAAATAAACGAATCATTTTATTTGTTGTTAATCAAGATAAACGAAAATGTATTAATTATGTCAAAGTTATACAATGACAATTAGAAAAGAAAAACACATATCTTATCTAGCAATAAAATATTGTAAAAGTAATTGTCCATCAATGGCGGTATCTTCGCTGAAGATTTTTATTTTTATTGTATTGTTATCTATCATGTTATCTACCGAGAAAAAGAAAAAAAGAGTTCAAAAGTCATTGTTATATCGTTTTCTCATTGGGAAATATTTCTTTAAAGTTCAATAGAGATAGACATATATATATATATATGTATGTATGCATACAAGTGAGATGTCTATCTATCTTTAGCATGATAGAGACATATAAATAGATCAATTGCACTAATTTTTAATCAATGGATAGTATTCTTTAATTTCCTAGTAGAATGATATGTCGGACAAAAGATCAACTAGAATAGGAAATGCCTATCTGTATAAACTTAGAAAGTTAATTAAGCTTATCTATGACATTATACTACA